AATTAACCCAAGGCATCCAGCCTACCTGGTAACTGCTTCCTTTCCAAAACTTCTTCATCTCTTTGCGCCTCCAGGCAACAAGTGAGCTGGTGATGAGTGTACATGGTACAAGATAGAGAAGGGCAGGTTGTCCCATCTTCATTAATGCCAGAACAACAAAAGTCAGCACCATACCAACAGCATAAGCTATAAAAAAATATTTATACAGACACAATCAAGAACAGGAGAATTTTTAGATTAAGTCAGATAAGCCAAAATTATTTTTTTAAAGCAGTATCTTCCTTGTTAATATAACTGAAGACAGACAATTGGTTGCTCTGCATTTGCAAGATTTCTCAAAGCAACTGACTACCTTTAAGAATAGTCACCTTTAATATTTGCAGGCACACTAAAAAGAGTTCATAAAGAGATTCTTGACAACACTGAACCTTTACCTGAAGAAAACTACCTAGTTCTGACATTTAAAAAAAGCTATTATGAAGACCAACAATACTGAATTATCACATGATTTACCTATTGTGCAGGAAATGTAGTATATAGAAGATGAACTTGTTTGAACATCAAATCTTCGACAATAGGCAACCAGAAGCCCTTGAAGGAAAAAAAATCAAAAAAAGGGAAAGGATTAATGAAATGTTTGGCCATGAATTTTCTTCTCCCCAATCTTCCAAATGAAAGCAGCATAAAAAAATTTGTAGTAAGACTTCCCAGTACTGTATGTTATCTTCTTCCCATTTATTTCTGGAAAGCCAAGAACCATTTTAAGAAATCCTACAGTAAGCCCAGGAATTCAAAACCATAACGAAAATATGAGCCAAGCGAGCTCGATATTAAAAGGGTTTGTTTTTTTAAGCAAGCTAATTACATTTTCAGTAATTATGCTATTTTAGGCTATTTTCAGTTTTCTAACACAGAAGAGTAACAACCTATTTTTAATATTTTTCTTCCACAGGATTCTAATGCTCACACTTAACATTCAGCAATTTTGCCTGCACATGCTTAAGTTGGAGTGTTGAGCAAACTACTTATGGCAAAATTCAGCTTTTCTGACAAAGATGGAAAAATCTGGCAATACATTTTCTGTTACCTCACCTCTAATTATGTAGTCTTGTATACAAAAATCCCATGAAGTCACAGAATACCTACTTTCTGTGAGATTTGGATGAAATTTAGTTAATACTGACAACTGGATTTATCTATGTGACTTGTATTTACACAATCCAGTGCAATAGAAAAAACCTGTCACAATTGAAGTGTTCTGTAACACACCGAGCTTTCTTCTTCTGTTGTGGCTTTTGTTGTATTCTGTTGTATTCTGACAGATCAAGGCAAACTGCAGCATTTGATTTAGTAATTACTCTGTGAATAAGCTCCACTGTAAGTCAGTTGAGAATCAAACCCAAAATATTTAATCTTAAATTACAATTACCAAAACCTTTGCTCACCTGGGACAATAATGTCTCCAAAACCCAGCAATGAAAATGGCAAGTCACACAGTGTCGATGCAGAGTGTTCAAGTCTAGGCACTCTAATAACCACAGGTAACTGGAAAACATTATTTCAGAAGCCATATAAATCTCATCTAAAGCATCCTGGTGTTTTGGATTTTTTTGGTTGCTTAATTTAATAAACAGTTTAAATATAATTAATTTATTGTTAATGCAGAACTTTAAAATAGGTCGAACCTAAAGTAAAAACCAGAAACCAACACAGAAAATAGATAGAGCTTAAGGCAACAGGTAAGCTGGAATTTCAGATTTACAAATAATATACACACAAAAAAAAAAGTTAAAACAATATTTAACCATGTAATGGGAGTAACAAATCTGGATTATTAACCTAACTATAGAATACTGATCACTGATATCCAGGCCCTGAAGAGAAATTTGGACAGTCAGGTTTTCCCCAAAAGAATAGTCTTTTCAGAGGGAATAATTTAAAAATCCAGTATCTGAAATACAATCCTTACTTTCTCATGGGGAGCTGAGCGTTCAGTAGGGACTTCCACCAAGTTTCCATCACTCTAGGATCAAACCCAAGTCAACAGGAATTTAATACTTATAAGAAAATAGCAGAAGCTGCTGTATTTTGTGAGAAAGTTATGCCAAAAAGCGCACTATGAATTAGCTACGCAGAGTCAGTATTTTTATGCCGCATGTGTTAAAATGACTTTTCATACCTTTTCACTGTTTCCAAAGGGACCAGCTGCAACTTCAACCATTATACTTGCCCCATTCTGAAATTACAGTTATTTTACCAAAAGTTAGTAGTTTAATGCATCAAAATTTTCATACTACATTTACAAAAACCGCTTGTACCTTCACCTACAATTCAGGATTGGAAAAATCCTGAACATCAAAGTGAATGCTTGAGTATTGTACAGTATTATACGAAAAAAATCATGTAGTCCAGCCTAAAACTACTGTTAAAAAAAGCCCCAAACAACAAGTCCACTAGATGTAGCTGGAAGTTTAGATAAAAACATGTCAGCTTTTTCTGCCATGAGCTTTTCTGCTTCAAAACAAGAGCAGGTGATGCTTGCACAGAATTCATACTACACTGCAAGTGAGCATGGCAGGCTCACTGGAGGGCAGTAATTTCTCATCATCACACTGTCCCTCAACTGGGGACAGTTTACTTTTGGCCATGTGATTGCCATAAAAATTTAGGCCATTGTTGTTTTAAATGGGCAAAAAAGAAAAGAAAGCCAGCTTTTCCTTCTTGAGAATTCTGAAAACACTGACCTGTTGGACAAAAGCATTGCCCCAGTAACCAGATATTTTTGTTAAGATAAATTCACAGACATACCTTCGTGATAAATGGTGTTATGAAGACAAAAAACACATCATATAGAAGGAGAAGGCCTAGAAGTATTACACAGGACTGGTAAAAAAAAAAAAGAGAAGAAAATATTACTGTGGGTTTTCAAGGATTACATAGCTGGATTTTGGTACCATTACTGTGCCACCATGTGAAAACCAAATCAAACCAACCCAACCCAACACCACCCCACACCATGCTTTTTAATCTGGCATAACACTTAGAATAGGGTTAGTGTCTTTTAATAATTATGAAAAATTGTAAAGATTGCAGTTTTTAATATAGATTTCTTGAGTGTTGAAAATCTATTTCCTGACAACAAACTTCCAGATTCATGGCAGTAGAATACTATGTTAAGATAAGCAACTTACAGTACCTTAAAGTTGGGCATTTTCAGTGTTTTAATGAAGTTTAGGCAGAAGGCAACTCCCAAAATATCTTGCAAAATCCAAGCCCACCTAAAAATAAAAATACATTTTTATAGGTTGTTACAATAGCTGGTATGGGTTATGTTTTGGATTTGTGCTGGAAACAGTGTTGATAACACAGGGATGCTGTAGGTAGTCAAGTAGCGCTTACACAGAGTCAAGGCCTTTTCTGCTCCTCACCCCACCCCACCAGTGAGGAGGCTGGGGGTGCACAGGGAGTTGGGACAGGACACAGCCAGGACAGCTTGGGCCCAGCTGGCCCAAAGGATACCCCAGACCACGTGTGCCATGCCCAGCACACAAAGCTGGGGGAAGAAGGAGGAAGAGGGTGATGTTCAGACTGATGGCGTTTGTCTTCCCATGTCACTGTAACACACGATGGAGCCCTGCTTTCCTGGGGATGGCAGACAGCTGTCTGCCCATGGGAAGTGGTGAATGAATTCCTTGTTTTGCTCTGCTTGCATGTGCAGCTTCTGATTTAACTATTGCCTAATTAACTGTCTTTATCTCAACCCACGAGTTTTCTCACTTTTACCTTTCTGATTCTCTCCCCCATCCCACTGGGGGTGGACTAAGTCAACAGCTGTGTGGGGCTTGGTTTTCAGCTGGGATTATACCCTAACAGTTTTCTTCATCAATGTTCTAAAGAGAAAATGAGTTGAACATGGGCTATAAGAGGTCCTTGGTGTCCACTTGTGTGACTGCTCACTTGATTGGGGGCCCTACTGAGCATCTGCCTTAGGATGCTGCTTGGGATGTACTACAATATTTGTGTACTTATAGTCCTGTGCTTCCACAGGCCCATAGGAAGCACAGAACCACAGGTCCCTATGCTCTTCTGCACCTTTTCCTTCTGGGGCAATCCTTAGCAATCAAGCTAGTTCTTCCTCATCTTCACAGGTTTTTTTGTAACTTCAAATTACCACACAGTTCATTTGCATAGCTTTGTTCTCTATTACTCCCAGGCTTGTTAAGCTTCATAAATACTTTCATGACTTTTTTGAAATTGGCACTGGAGTTTAGAAGGATGCTACACTCCAGGATTAGTGGTAGGATGGGAAGTTCATTAATGCCGATTATTCATATTACTCTGAAGTTAGAATGCACCACTTACCTGTCTTCATTTCGAAACACTGCCCAGACAACAGCTGCTGCTGTGCAGAACACAGCAAGAAAAATAAGCCTCACTTCAATGGTTTTGTTACAACATGTAATCCTAAAAGAAAATAATGAAATTAAAAGAGAAAGCTTGTAACAGCCAAGACACATGCCTGTGCTATCACATATCCTTAAGCTGACCAGCTGTTCTCATCCCAATAGTTTCTCCTTTGCCCAGCTGTTCTGTCCAGACTCAGGTGACATTATTCTTGCAACTGCAGAACCAATCCTTTTCTGGACTACACTAAAAACCAGCCAAGTGGGGCTTTGATGGCCTGTCCTCATTTTAGCAAACACATCCAGGGAAGGCAGCAAGCAGGTTGAGTTTGTTGAATCCATTTCTGTCAGTTAACTGAACTATGTCAGTGAGGGACAGCCATGTCATGATTGCACAAAAGGGTGGTGGTGAGGAAAATCAGTTTTAGGACACATAATACAAGATTTAAAATGGGGTAACTATGTATTGCAAAATTGTGAGCCAATATCTGTTTCCACCACCTACTCAGTTGTCTGGGACAGTTCTTGAACTGATATTAACTGACAGAAGTAATGCCTGTCCTGCAGCTTACACAAAACCTGCTGTCTTTTCTACCTGATCTCTGCCTTTGATGGGCTACTGGATCACCTGGCAAAAATATCCTGCATTAAGGAACATGCCAACAGAATTGCACAATTCCAAGTTCATAAGCATCATTCTTTTGGGGAAAAAGAATCATTTGTTGCATTAAACATTCAGGATTTTTGAAGTGAAAATACAAGGGAGGAAAACAGGGACACTCCCATGCTCACTAATAACTGCAGGATATTTAACCCAGAGTAGTAAAAAGAGGCTGTCTGTACATTGACAACACACCACCCAAGTCAGGACTGTAACTGCTGCCTTCCAACACGGATGACATGAGCAATGTGTTGCCTTTGTAATAAAGTTAATAGTTGGCATTTCACAGGTACAGTACAGAGTAATATGAGGGAAAAAACCCTCTATTGCCTACAGAGCAGTACTTGTTCAAAACAGGATCAAATGTGCAGGATCCCCCCCTTACAGAGTTCCTTGATGAACAAAGTGAGCACATGACAGGCAACCAGAATTTGGTAAAACCAAGCTCAGACAGCCAAGCAGAGCCTTTCAAATTTGACTACAGCAATGCTTTCCAATGAAGGTAATGCAGAAAACCTCCCACAACTATTTTAACTGCTGATTATGCTACAGATACCTTCAATATCTATTAAAGAAGCTTGTAATTTTCTTTTGTAACTATCCCACACACTAAACCATAACAGGAAATACTTTGTCAAATTCATATTTTCACGCCACATTGAGTAGCAACCAGAAGATATGCAAAGGAAACCTTACACTCATAATAACTGAAAGTGTACAATACCTGCACTGCCCAAATGGGATTTCTGCCACTAATGCTGCCAGACAGTTGTACAGACTCATTGCAGAGGCCAAGCAGAAGACTGATATTATAACATATACTAAATAAAAAGAATGAAGATGGGAATCAGTGACAAAAAATAACAAACAGGAATCAAACACAACAACATACATTTGATATTTTGTGTTCAAGAGGTGTCTGGATCTAGTGCTGGGTGATATGTGGTTTAGGGGTTACAGTGGTAGTGCTGGGTGGATCATTGGGCTGGATCATTTGAACGTGTCTGCCAACCTTGAGGATTCTAGGATTTCATGATATAAACTGTTAACAGTTACAGCAGTGCTTGACACAGTCACTGGAGACCATAGTCAGCTGATGACAGAAAGTGCTCAATTCTGAGTGTCTCTGCCATGACAAAGTTCTCATCAAACAAAAACTTGACTTAATGGCATCAGAATTGCTTTCTAGCCAGATCTTCACTACAAAAAACTAAAACCAAACACCAAATCCCAGCTACTAAAAAACATTCTCATCAAGCAGACTCTAAACACTAATAGGTTGTCATTACCATCCTCCCAAGAGTGTTGACATAAATCACACAGGTTTTTTTACTCATTGCTAGTCACTTCTTCTCCACATCACTTCATTCAGAACAAGCATTGTTAAGACAGTCTTTGCAAGACAGTTGAAGAAAGCTTCTCTTCTTTAAGTAGCAATTGCATCTTTTTAACCCTCAACTCACACATGGAGAGAACAATTAAAAAAATTACATTCATTCCAGTTTAGAAATCTATTTTCAGACTTAGACACCTAATAAGATCACATAGAAAAATAAGTCAAATGAGATTATTCATTATTTCTTACCTAACCACTTGTAGAAGAAATAAAGTAAGACCAGCATGACACAACAGATGGCAACAAACAAGATAACTGTTAGAGGGGTGAAGGTAACATTTTCCTCCTTCTTCCGTCTGGTTTCTCTCTCCCCTGGACTTGCTATTGCTTTCAGAGTCTCCCTGTTTTAAGAAAATGACAAACACATTTACGTCAAATGGCAGGTTATGAAAATCTTTTACTATGACCATAATTGTTGGCTGTAGAGTATTTAGACTGACAGTGTTCCAGTTTAATCCTTCAAACTATTATTAGACTTAAAACCACAGAAAAATGGTATGCTTGCTGTTTGAGTTTCTCTCCATTTTTAATGAAGATATGCACTTCCAACCTAGCATAGATCACAAGGAAAAGATTCTTAACTGCACTCCTTTCCAATTGTGTGGTGATTGCCAACTTTAAGGAGTACCTCCCAATCAAAACCCTGATCTGTGTGAAGAAAAGTAGTCCAATACTCTTAAACTCCTTTTCAGGAGGCACACACTCAGCTCCATTAGGGCATGACCTCTGACTACAAAATTTCTTGGGCTAAATGTAGACAATTTGATAAATATGTCTACAATAAATCAAAATCATGGGTATTGCACACTGTTTTAACACCTCAATTAGACATTAAGTGTCTGCAAACCCCACTCATGTTAGCAGAATGAAGCTGGCTATGTACTAGTTCTTTTACTCTGTAATTATAAGGTGTAAGGGTAAGTGAAAGAGAGGGGGTGTAATTGGAGACTTTCACTAGGAGTAAAATTTCTGTACATACATACTTCATATTTATACCTCACCATGCAAAATAAGGAGACTTAAATTGCTGTGTTTGTTCTTTGAGCAGATAGCCCTTCTACTCTTTAGTACAGACACCAGTGCAACTTGCCCATCAGATAACATGTTCCTGATGAATCCCAGGACCTACTACAAAACGCTGAATTCAGCACAAACAGCCACCTTCAAAAGAGAAAAACCCACAGGAGCAAGGCACTTTGTTAGATGAATCACCTTTTCAGAAGAAATGCTTTGAATAAGCAGCTTTAAAAAAAAAAAAAGCTCACCCTAGATTTATGAAAGAGCACTTTCACAAGTTTAATAAATTACGTCTAGGTATTTTTCAATATGGCAGACAGCATCACATTTTGTTATTTTAGCAGTCAGAGCAGCCACACCCTGTAGCACTGCAGGGTGAAAAAGAAGCATAATCAGATCTAACCTTTAAAAAAAGAAACATACACACCTCTCCTTGTTCTACTTCTTTAATCTCTTTAAAATCACTAGATTTGCATAACTAGTGGGAAAGAGGAAGCTGTTGTTATCACATACAATCCTCTCCCTGTTGTTCTGGGGACCAAAGTACCAGAATACCACTGAGACATGGAAGGTAGCAACACACACTGGCCTACTCAGCATACACAGGCACCCAAGAATACTGCAGCATAATGCCATGCTCTCAAAGGCCAGTTATAGCCAGCTAACCCCAGACCAAAACCAGCTCTGTGCATCACTTAAAGCTGCACACTCAGCACAGGGCACAAACCCCTACTACCCTGTTTCTCTGCTTTTACCACATTCTACACTTCCACTCCCTCCTCTTCCCTGCACAAGGACTGCTGCTGCCTCCTTGCCCTTGCCTAGTCCTAGACCTGCTGCTGCTGCCCCAGCTCTGCTGCTCCACCAGATAACACACAAAGCTGAAGCAGATAAGCCAGGCTGGACCTTATCTGGAGCCAGCCAGACTCAACCAAACTGCATTTCCCAGTGTTCCTAGTGACAGGAGTGCTGCACAGCCAGCTGGGATGGAGCAGCTGTACAGACCCCTGCCAATGTAGACACTACATACAACTACAGAAATATCTCTTGAATCACTGGACTTGAAAGGTGTAATGAAAATACCTAATTTCTATTGTGGATATTGGAGACCTATGATGCCAGTTACAGAGTGCTTGGTAATTCATCAAAATGTTAACTCATTCCTCCTCCCAAGAGCTGCATTATCCCTCAGGGACTTTTGCTCAAGGCTCCTCAAAGATCTGAGGTGATTTTTCAGAGGTTGCAGTGCTCAAAAATTTCATGGCAAAGCAGCTAATTGCACTTGGATCTTCTAATTTTATAACTACCAACATAAAGCAAAATAATTTCTCACTGATGACAATGACAGTTTTCACACACTTTGCAGTCCATGTAATTTAAGCAGCTCCATTTCACAAACTTACAGTTCTGCTACTCCGCTCCAGTAGCCTCCCAGTGCCACTGTAGACACAGCAATTAGGAAGATGACAACCATGCTGTAATCAAACTCTGGCAAAGGTGGTGAATACAGAGTCACATTAACTTCATTTCCAAGTGTCTGAAAAATAACACACAAGTTGGTTCATAAGGAGGACAAAGAAATTATGGGGCTTATTTTCCAACAAGATGTACATTGTGGTTTCCTGCTCTTGATCTATACAATGCTGAGAGGAAGTTTTCAACTTAGTGCACAAAAGATCCCATATATTTGCCAAGAAACAATGCTTTCCATGTTACCTTTCAGGATGGTCAGGTTTGGAAACAATCCTATTACTACTGGTGTGGAAACACAGGGATACCACAAGACAAAATGGTACTTCTTTGCATTCTTTCCACAATTCCCAGAAGTTGTGCCTCTAGCCCAAATATATCGAGTACTACCAAAGATGTCTTCTCTGCAGGAAAGCAAATCTAAGGCAATCAACTTGAAATACAAACTCACAGGTCCACTAAGATATCAGCAGAGATCTGCCTCTAGCTCTTGAAACCACAAACCTCACTGTTCAGATACAGACATGATGCTTCAGATAGAACACAGAGAAAAATCAAGGTGGCAGAAAGTTATTTACTAGCTTTACACAAATATGATTTGAGATGGATTCAAAAGAGAAGAAAGCAATTTCACATTACTTATGAAATTTGAGACCTAAGTAAATAAAACAATCAATTGAAGGACACTGAAGAAAATGGAAGAGAACACTGAGATGTAACCGGTACTGAATCCTACAAAAATCTTGAAAGCAAAACCAAGATGCTTCCATTTGACCGAAAGGTGAAATTTAAGAGGCATAGAATGGATGATAATTTGACAGGAAATGGAAGGTGGGGGGGAGACAGGTTTGCTGTTGCAGTCAAAGGAAGTCAAGACATCTAAAGTAACCGCGCAGTGAGAACAGACTTCAGAGATGCTGCAAAAAAACCAGATTTGTTTACAGTCTGCATGTGAGATAAAAGCAGGAGAGCATGAGAACATGCCAGGCAGGTTTGGCTAAAGGAAGATCAAACTGGAAGTAGAGAGACTGAATGGGAAGCCCAGTAGTGCAGTGGAATACAGTGGCCACATGGGAAGAAAGCTGATTCATTTCAGCATCTGAGTTACCTAATTACAGATAATAACCTTTCTGCAGGCTAAAAAAAGTCAGAATCACTCTTTTGCCTGCAGTTATGGAAGTTCAGAAAACAAGAAATAAAATTAAATTCTAGTGAAACACTGCAGTTGTATGAAGTGGAACATAACATTAAAGAGAAAAAAAACCCTATCCAAATTACAGCATCCTCTAGGTAAAAAAAATTAAAAAATCCAAACTAGATTCAAAAAAGTGCTAAACCCCCCAAGAAACATAAAGGCTCACATATTTTTAGTATGAAATTTCAACATATCTTAATCCAGTTCTTCCTTTAAGTTTCATAGATCTTACAAAGTATAGTTCACACTAGAATCTAAAGTAATTGTTTCCTTTTGTTCCTATATTGTTCTTCTCTTCACTAAAAACTTGCAAAGTCTCAAGTTCCTCCACAGGGAGCACTACAATCAAACACATTGCATCACATAACAACTGCAAGAGAGCTGTCAGCTGTCCACTGACTACATCTGTGACACTGTGCTATTGCTATCAAGACACATAACAGACCTGCCTCAAATGGTGAAGGCTCACAGAGGTGAAGTCTTGTAAGAAAAAGTAAAAAGAATGCTTATACAAACTAGTTACCCTCAGACTGGTGCTGTCTGTCTCTTCTAAATTAAAGGAGAAAGCTGGAAGCCTTAAAAAGAGTTAGACCAGAAATACAACTGTAGTGGGAAGAGTACAATGGCTGTCAGAGTCTAAGCAGCACATACCATTCAAAACAACAGCTGCCAGGGACATGACAGAAGGCTTTGGCAAAAAACTGGATCAGAACTAGGAAAGGATCACTTGTAGTCTGGGCTGTGTTCCTCACTACTTTTATCTCATTGTAAGACAAATATGAACTCTCTGATTCAACAGCAGTATGAGACATCATCTGGCATACCAATCTACCAGCAGAGTTGCTTTGGGGAATTACTGTGGCTATACAGAAGTGATTCTAAATGACACCACCCTGAGCAAAACTGGGCAATAAAGTGGTGCAGAGAAGACTCAGAACCAATTAGGGACCCAACCTTGCCCTAGTTCCCTTTCATGTTACTAAGGCATTTTAAAATCATTCAACTACGCAAATGACACTCGTCTGACTTGAAGGAACAAATCTGAAGACAGAGGACAACCTGAACCAATCCACAGTACTTATCAAGGCTATGGCAGACTGAGAACAGTCACCACAAACCTTCAGTTGTGTCAGTGCTCAGCAAGTAGCAATTTTTAATGGGAACAGACAGTAAACAACCGAAAAATCCTATAAATCTAGGCAGTTTCAGTTTGCATACTTACCTAAGACAATCTCCCACGGCAGCTCTGAAGATTAAGAGCAGAAATGGTGACGTGAGCTTGCAAATTCATCCCAAGAAGCTAAGACTAGAGGTTAGAGCTAGCCTCTGCTCCTTACAGAAAAATATGTGCAATGCAACTCCTGCTTAGCAAAACTATTTAACACTAAATAAAAAACCTAAAACAATAACAACAGAAAAAGCCACAAAGAAAATATACTGTTTTCCTTAAAACTCTCTGCAATATTCTACATCCTAATATTAAATATCAAGGAAAAGAAACTCCAAATACTTCCCAAAACAAACTTCCCTGCTTATAAAGCGTAGCAGATACCACAAGTGCCTCATTTTAATGACAAGCATTTGGCATCTCACCATGAACTCACGAGCAGAAACTCAAACTATACTGCCTAACACTGTAACAGATGCTGTAATGCCATATAAAGAGAGAGCTCCTCATCTGGCAAAGACAAAAAACCCTTTCACCCTCCTCAATATCCAACTTGATAAGGTGCTGCTTACCTGAAAGCTACTGTGCCATAGCTACAAGCTCAACTGTTGTAGCTTCTAAAGGAACAGCCCTCTCAGGCTGTAGCTCTTCATGCCTGTCAGGATCTGTAACTGTACACAAGTCTATTGGAAGACAGCTTAGCTTGTTTAGCAGGAAGACTTCTAAAGATTTCCCTACCTCCAGTTAGGTATTGTGTTTCCCATTCTTAGTGTTCTAATCAATCATTCTCTCTCATTCACCTGAGTTAGGAAGACCAGCACTTCCATAATTTAATGTTCATCCTCTTCTGAGAAACTGAAAGCAGTATCTATGCACATTCAAACCAGGCAGACATCTGTATCTAACCTGAAACTATTTTATTTATTTGTTCAAATACCCAAGTTTATACAAACCATAACATGCTGAAGTTCTGTTACTTACCAGCTGCATATCTACTATGTCATTGTATCTTATAAGAGCAATTGGAAGAGTCACATCTTCAAAATCAGTCTTGTTGTCTGAAATAGCAGACTAAAAGACAAAGTATAAGTGATAAGTATGTTGAGGCTATTTGTGAAGCAGGTTAGATCCCTAAAAGCAGATTAGCCTTTAAATTTCAGTGTATTTCCAGGAAGGTAAAAAACAAAAAGCTCATTCATCACCCTTTGCAAAAGGTTAATGAAGACAGATGTACTTAAATCAAAACAGGTGATACTAACAACACATCTGGATTCATACAGCTCATGTGCTTTTATAGTATTACAAGGGATAATCAAAACTGTTTTTATTCTCTACACCTCTAAAACAAGATTGATTTTTCATGGTAATCACACAAATTCATAAATTGCACATATTGGTACAAAAATGTTGCAGCTGTAATAGAGAATAAAAAAGCAACAGAAGTACCTGTGAAAATATCTCAAAATACATTTTTATCTTAAATTTTGGATTACATTTTCATAGCTTATTTTTATCATACCTGTCCAAAACAGTATCACCTAAGATTAAATGGATTCAGAATGCACTAAAATTAGAGAATGATAAAGACAAGTATTTGCATTCAGAAACATACTGAAGTTATAAGGAAGAGAATAACAATACAATTTGGTTGTAGATACTTGCAGCTGATATAACCCAGCATTGCACAGAGGTAACTCAGTCTCAGAACACCAGTCCCACCAGCACAGTGCTCTGTGGGAGGGTTAATGACTCCTGCTGGAATCCCACCCATAGCCAGGGTCCTCTGCTTTTGGGCTTCTCTCAGCTAACCCTGGACAACACGGCACTGGATCAAACAGATAAGACACTTCACCACAGAAGAAAACTGTGTTGTAACTTACCAGCCCGGATTTACTGGCAATCAACAGCATTTTAGCACCCAAACTTTGTGCAATTCTTGCTTTCTCCAAAAAGGTGCAGTTTCCTCTCATCACTACAACTGCTTTGTCCTTCATTATGCCAGAAGGAACTTCAGATGAACTGCAGAGGACTGTGGAAGTCAGGTTTTCCAGAGTCCTGAAAGTCTGCAGAGAAAAGAAATGTGATAAAGCTAGGAAATTTGATATTACAAACTAACCTAGACAAGTACATTACTATGGTCCTTAACTTGAGGTTTGCCAGAAAGAGGTGTAGCAGAAAACAATCATTAATTCAGGAATATAAAATCACAGCAGCAGTTTCTGCAGCCTGCAGTACTGAGGGACATTTAGAGCAGCATATAGCTGAAATAATCAGGCTGTTCTAAGTGCAATTTCACAGCAGTCGTTCCTGTAAATTAAACATAAGAAACTGGTTATGTAGGAAAACCCCTACTTGCAGTTCTGGGGAATCCAATGTACAATCTGTGCTATTTCCAGGCTTCACAAGCCAAAAGGGCACTGATGGATACAACACAATCAGAGTTCCAAAGTATAATGCTTGTTCAAAACCAGCTGTTGAGTCTGATAATGCATTACTTACTACAAAATAGTAGTAAAAAAATTATATCCTTATTTCAAAGTTTAATTTCATATTGACAATTATCTTTAGATTATTGTCAATTTTCTTTAGCCACTTGGATGTCTTGACTAACTAAAGTAACCTAGCAAAGATGTCTGGGGCAGACAAATGATTTTTACTCTTTTTTACATTGAGTTACTCTGTGAATGAATGACAGAAGGGAAGGCAGAGTGCCTTGACCACTCCCGAACATGAAGTATTTCCTATTTATATGAAGAGTGCCTAAAGAACATTAATTTCTGCCTCATACCAACATAGTCAGAAAATAAGGCATGATGATGCATTCCAGATAATCTATTACACCACGTTTTGAAGACAAGTAAACAGTACATCAAACTGCTGAACCAATATACAAAAATTCTGTTTCAAAAGTTTATCAATTTTGTAAACAAATAAACCAAACTTTAACTTCCAAATATAAAACATAGACATAATGATAACACCTGAAGAAAAGAAATTAACAGTATCAAATGAATATGTAAACATTTAAAACTGGTTCTAAGCACAGAGAGAGAACCCCTTTGTAAGCTTTAGAAGCTGCCTTTTTAAAGCATAGAAAAGTTCACTCTAATTTTTTTTTGAGGGGTGACAGGGAGGGGACAGCATGACCCAAAATGATAAATATTCAGTGTAGCACCTACTTAATTCAAAATTTTGAAGACCAGGTATAGCTGACCCAAATTCATACTGCATTCTAGTTCTCAGAGACTGTGACTACAAGCTACTTACAGCATTGTCCAGGCTTTTTGGAAGAGATGTCCACTTAGAATTGTAAATGATGCAGTAATCCTTTGTCAGTGGGGGCAGCCCGCTCCCAGAGGCGTGCAGGATCCCCTCATCCGCCGCCACCTGCGACAAACCAGGGTGTTCTGAATTAAACAGAGCTCAGAATACCACTTAGACATTCCTCTAAAAAGCTGTTAGGAAGAGAAAGAGCTGTTAGGAGAAAAAGAATTTATTCAGTTAATTATTTTACATAATGACTGATTCCATGAGAGATGGGCAGCTTGAGAGCAGGCCAGAAAACAAGAACCTAGTTACTGTAATGCTGCTTCTCCTCTTTGCAAACACAATGTATTCATGACATGTACAGCTCATGTCACCAAGTATAGAATACCAGCAAGAAAGCCAGGCAAATGATTTCAGATTCTGTATCCCATGCCTTCCAAAAAGTGTAAAACTGTACATGGAAAGCAATTAGAACAGTACATGGAAAAAAGATGAAAGTCTTTCCCTCCTTGCAGACTCTAGAATTTCCCGTACTAATAAAGGTATGATATGACAATTCCTGAAATATTTTTTCTCAAATAACTGTAAACACAGAGACCAACTAGTGTACTTTAAGAAGAATTTGTGCAGTTAAGGAAATACTGCTGTTTCTTAAGATTAGACTTCCTCACATAACATGATTTCTGTTGTTTACTAATACATCTGAATTTTAAAACTTCTGATAATTTTATGATATATGCCTCTCCCTAAGCATTAATAAAGATAAGGTACTTCAGTGGATAAATAAACAGACTAAAGATTAAATGCAGCTACAGCTGCATAGTACTGAAAACAAACAAAATTTGTGTCTCAAAGTGTCACCTTAGGAAAACTGGGAGATGAACTCATTTCATCTGTCTGTCTTGAGACAGAAACTGACCTCCACAGCAAGAAGTGCCATTAGATTAAAAATAAATAAACTTAAATCCTGTTGTAAATTCCAGATTTGTATAAAAGAACACTGAGACATTAAGCTAGAAGTGGGTATGGGGGGAAAGCCCAAATACTTGTGAGATATACAATGCTAACCATTAACAGTGCTACAGAGGCATTTCTCCTCTAGCTCACAGATCTGTATTCTTCAGCAAGGGTGAACTGGAGAGAAAAGAAAAGCATGTGACGATATTGTTTCAGAGGTTTATGTCTGCCTGGTTTGAATAGCAAAAAACCTTCTTCAGAGGAATCCATTATATTGGCCACAGTGCATGAACATCTGCTGGGAGAACTGTGTCAAAGGGCCTGAGCACATTAACTGTTTAACATAGAACAGTTCTTCAGCTGGCAGCTAAAATAAATTGTTCCATGATTTATGATCAGCACAAAAATTATCAAGCTTCCCTCTTAACTGCACTCACCTAAAAGTACAAACTAACGGCAAATTAAAAGCAGTAAAGACTTCCAACAGGTGCAAACCCCAGATGTTTCTATCTATTAAAAGCTCTTTCTGCTTCACAAAGTAGAATAATAAGTGTCTTCTGGGTTCCAGGAAATCAACTGTTAATGCTACACAAGCGTAAATCTACCTAGAAGGAGTGATTACTTGCCTATTTGATATGCTTGTTTTGTTTGGCAAGCTTTGCCTCCCTGGGGATGAATCAGGGAACACAATTCATCCTCACGAGGCGGAGGGAGGCAGGACCTGAGCATGACATGTACCCACACGTATTCATTGCTGAGCTCTGAAGACAGCATTTAGAAGTTAAAAAATTAAAAGAAACACTATTGATGGACCTCATTTGGAACATCCCCGCTGAAATCCTGTTGCATCCAGCTGAAGTTCTCTCATTTTCTAATTGCTTCAGTGTCCTTCTTTCACAACAGACAAGGGCTACTAGTTTGGGCACCTGGCCTTGCAGTCAGCTGTGCCACTGAACAAATCCTATTCTCAGTATACATATGCAAAGTAAAAATTTCTTACTGAGCACATTTTCAATCTTGTTACTTAAGAGAAAGACTAGGAGTGTGTCCACAAAAACAGGTCCTGAAAAGATTAACCTGCTTCCATAGGCTGACTTGCTCTAGCATAAAAATGTTCCCACATGATGTAGAGGCATGACAGCTGCCCTTACCTAAAGGGGCATCACCATCTCCTTTCACTTCAGGTTCAGACAGTTCCCAATGGCCCCTCACCTCCAAACAAATTCCTTCCTATTTTTGAAAGGTAGTTCTCTCATTGTATTTCCTTCTCTTAGCACCTTTAAACACTTTTTGTATAATTCCTTATCTTTGATAGAGAAGAAGTATCATTCTGTCTCTTGCTCTCTAATTTTCCTAACATGTCCTGTCACTGCAGGGATATAAGCTTGGGCTGACTGCTGAGCTTTGGAGTGTACCAGTAACCTCACCACGCAGAATACAGGAAGTCAAATGAACCAGTAGACACAGAGACCAAACCAAGCCTATATTTACAACATCCATCATAATTAGCATCCAGATAAGACATACAGAAACTCAAAGGTACGGAGCAGGGAGAAGGTATTCTGCACATAGCAAGTAACAACATAGAAAGAAAGAAAGAGAACAGAACAGCCATGAACAGAACAAGCATCATTTTGTTGTTCTGCCAGTGGCCTTGTGACACACACAAACTGTCCCTTCTTCCCTCTTTCCAGGCACTATGACCCAGGGGAACATGTGCCTACGCCCAGAGAGCAGCAGTGGTGCTCTGAACACCTATGACCTTCCTGAGGGCCAACTCCCCAAGCTGTTAATGCTCCAGGTACAGTATCCAATGCTCACCACTGCTACACCTGCATTTGTAGAGCAAAGGAGGAGGCAGGACATGGGGCTGCAGCTTTACAGGAGGGCAAATGCCCCTTCCCTTGTCAACAGCAGCCAGCCATTGGGTTAAGGAGCAAAACCACTCTTCAGAAAACCCCAACATAACTAGTGACAACTATGTGGGATTCACAGACAGAAGACACGAGTTACTTCATCCACAAGCATTCTCAAGGCATTAACAGACTGTGCTGTGCACCTGTCACGTATCCAATGGCGACTTCCTACACAGGAAGTACTCTGCATCCTATCTTACCAAAACAAGATAAAAACTATGTCAAAAAAAAGGCAAGCAGAAAACCCCACACAACAACAACCAAACAATTCAGTGGAGCACCATTTAATGCAGATATGCCCCTCATACTGCCTCAGCACATTACAGAGGTTTCTGGCTTCCCCCTTTCACTACCCCACTTGGCAGAAAGCAGCCTGCCAGATTTCAATGTCCACCTGTGGAAAGGGAGAAGCTCCGGGTATGTCCCACACCGAAACCGAAACGGCACTGGAGATAAGCCAAAACACAGGACACGTACACATACCACGAGCTTCCCCCCTTTCCTGCACCGTAATTTAAAAGCCTCTAGAAACAAGGGGTTTACCCACGCAGGCACCCGGGAGATTTATTATCCCGACTCCCAACGCGTGACCGGAGCCGGCCTGGCCTGGGGAAACCGCGCGGCCTCCCCCGAGGCCCAAACCCCACGGGCCGCTCTGCGGAGCGAAACCGCCCCTGGGCCGGGGGGAGCCCAGCCCAGCCCAGCCCGGGAGACGGGAGCTCCCGGGAACGGGCATCGGGCGGGCACAGGGAGCCCCTCGGCCGGCAGCGCCGGGCGGCCCCATCCGCCAGTGCAGGCAGCGCCGTCCTTACCGGCGGGAGCAGCAGGGCCCCCAGCAGGGCCCACAGCAGCCCGGCCGCCCCCATCGTCCTCCGCCGGCCGCTCGGGGAGGGGCCTCGCTGGGCTCGGGCTCCGCTCGGCCCCGCCGAGCCTTTCCCGGCTCCCGGCGACACTTCCTGTTCCGTGCGGCGGCCCCGACCCGGGCCCGGGACGCGGCGGGTCCGGCGGGGCGGGGGCGGCGCTGGGGCGGCCGCTGGGGCTGCGCGTCCCCGCCCCGCCCGTGCCTGTGCCGCCTCCTTTTCCTGTGGCTCTCGGCGGGTCCGGGTTTCCGCCCTGCAGCTGCAGGTGAGCGGGGTTTAAGCAGTGACAGGATCCTTGGGGCCCGTCAAGGCCGTTACGAGTGAGAGGGAACGGCCTGGTTGGCCTCACGTCTCCCCAGACAAAGCGCTCCGGGTGTTTCGCCCCGGTCCAGCGCACACACAAAGCCGTGGGACAGAGGCGTGGGGAGGAGAGCTGGATGTCCTATGTGAGAGAAACGAGTACAAGGAACAGCGAAGTGTGACCTCTGACGAAAGGCCGAGGGTTCAGAGATGTCTTCCAGGTTTCGAGAGCATTAAAAGGGCTGTGATGCATCACATGTAAGAGCCAGCAACGACTTGCGGGAAGGAGATGGGTTGAAACAGATCCGTGATTTACCAGCAAAGAAAGTTGTGCAACATTTTTTTATTTCACTGGAGGTTTTCCAGCGCTGGTTCCGCTGTCCCCTCCTGTCCCTTCCCAAAGGGCCGGGTCTGCCTCAGGGCCAGCGTGCACAGGGAAGGGGAAGGGGTGAAGATAAGAAGGATTGTTGTGGATAGAAGGGAATGTGGCCATGAGCCAGACGGGGGAGGAGTGAGGGAAAGGGAGAGGCAAGAGGATGAGAGTGGAGCTGCAGTCCAGCATCAGTCAATCAGAGCCTTGAGTGGGTAGCCAACTTGCTTTGAGTTGCTCACAAACTAAGTGGTTATTAGTTATTACTACTGAGGAAGGAGATTCCTTCACGCATGGTTTCCCCTATGCGTGAATATAAGGACAAAGACACGTAAAACATCTACAGAGAACATTCTCCACTGCATTATGGCAACTTTTCAGGAAGCTGTTCTGTTGCTGTAAAAATCTGAGTAACTTTTACATACCTGTACATAAGGAGTGTTTTGATCAATACTGATATTTTGATTGTAACAGACAAGCTTTTATTTTTCCCTCAGTGACAATCTGCAATTCATCATTAGATCAGCAACAGAACAGGCTTATGCATCTTATAGAATTGCTGGGCTGCAAAAGTGTGTCTAACAATTTATTGTGCGTAAACAGTGAAAGATAATGGAACACTGTGACACAGCTAATAATTCATATTCTATGCAGAATTGGTATTTAAAAGAAAAAAAACAACAAAAAAACCCAAACAGGCTAGCACATTGTCCATCTGTGTGTTTCTATTTTGGTGCTGTTGTCAGAGTAACCACGACACTTTATCCTGACTACTATCTCTTCTTCTGAGTCTAACAAGATCTGGATGACAGATGAATACTGATTACTTCAATAAATCTGCCAATCCTGTGATCTGAAATGAGCTAAGGGTATATACATGACAGTGTATTTCAGGCATGGAAGAAGTGTTTAATTTGAATTGCAAGTGCATAGCTGCTCACAGGAGCACATTCCATGGCAGCATGTCCTGTCCTACCACATCCTAATCCCTCTCCCTGTGTTCCCCAGGAAAGCACAGCAGCTTTTATTCTGTCTGCAGCTGGGAAAAAAAATGGGCCAAGGAGAAATAGGAATACAGTTTCCTCTAAATAAAAGGGAATTTCCCTCTCAAAAAGTGTATGTTTGGTTTGATGTTCCCTGCTTTGATGCATATTTAAAGATATTGTGAAAACATCTCTTACACTAAACACACATCCTGCAGTTCAGTGGGACTGTGTGGGTTAGAAATACCTGCACCGAAGAGCCCCCATTTAGGGCATCAGGGAAAACTTGTAAGGTTATCTTTATTGGCAACTTCAGTAGTCCCTAATTTTTACCATTAGCTTTAGTGTGTAACCACAACTAAAAACATGATGTAGTCTCAAATTTCAACACTATGAGAAAAACTAGATTTTGTTCATATATGTTATTTCCAATGCCAGGCAGAAGAAACCTAAGCTCTAAAGACTCAGACCTTGAAGAATGGCTTCAAAGCCTAAAGGATCCTCTTTTTTTTCCCCTCCAGTTTTAAAGCTGAAGTTTCTTATTTGGAATGAACAATACAGCCTCTACCCCTGATCAGTGTAAGATACTAAAAAGAATTCTATCCTTTCTATACCACCATAATCCTTCCCATCAGAGAGAAGAGCAACACTACTTTCAGAAAAATCCCTTTCCCAACCAAAATATCAACTTGGAATGAAATCTGTAACTCAACTCAGGCATTCCTAAAGTGTTAAGGAATGGAGATGTTTAATGTAAGCTTTGAGCACATTAGTTAGAAAGTGAAAACTGAGTCTAAATAACAATTAGCAGAGAAAGTAAACTGCTTGAATAATACTACACATATATTGAAATCCTTTTCACAGACATAATGAAATTATCCTTTCCTTCCCTATGCTGTTTTCCAGCACTTACACTTCTAAACACTAATGATTTCACTCACAAGGAAAGAAATCCAAGATATCTTCTATTTCTTCTATTCTATCCAGGGCTCATATTGCATTAAATGCTACTTTAGTGTTTTTCATATTTATCAGCCTTTTGGCTTTTGAGTAAACTTATCCCAACCAATCTGCCTTTTTCTGTTCCTTTCCCTATATATCTCCCTATGCAATGAAATTAGCTCTTCCAATAACTTAACTTTGAATTACTGTCTAATTCTGTTAATTTTGCATAAAATGCCATAAACAGAAGATAGGTGCCTTCTCAGGTAGGCACATTTGGGAGAGTGGCTATCAGCATTAGGTATTTAAGAGAAAACATTGCATCATTTTTGCAGGACTAAGACTGCAAAAGTGACTAGACTCTGCTCACCAAGCAGTTATGTCATACAAAAATCAGGACAGAAGGGATTTTGGGTGCATTAATCAACAAGCTTCAAAGGATTGAAGGAATTTGTAACATGTTGTATTAACTTCTAAGAACTAAGAGAGAACATTGTCCCAAATACTGAATATATTTTTAAGAAAATTAGTAGGCACTAGAGAAATAGGACAGAATAAAACAGGTGACGAGGAAAAGGAAGCGGCTTAACCAAAGAATATTTTACTCCATCCTGTAAACTCTTTTCAGTGCTTCATACTTTCACAGCTTTTTGGCTGGAGCCTGGAACAAAACAGCAAAATAACACTGTGAAACCTCCTGATTAAAAGGGCACAGGAAACATTGTTGCTGAAACCTGCTGTCTCTGTGAGACAGGCACACATGGCAAGCACAGGGACATGTGCAGCAGCCTCATGAGACCTGTATCTCCTGGCAAGAGAATGATCCAGAACACAGACAGTGTTTAAGAACCATTTATTCAAACAAGCACAAGTAGCAACTTTTCCCCGTGGACTAACAGCCTTATCTGAACACCAGTAAGTATTAATCTATGCAAGCAAGACATACCCTAGTTCACTGAGTATTATGCAGCAGAGAGAACAACTAATTAATGCATTTTCAAGGTGATGTTTAAAGTGGTTGAAAGAAACTAGTGAAAGCTTTACTCATACACCATTATGCAGCAAGGACACATTAGCATGCATTAATGAAGGGCTGCAAACCTTATTTTTGAATTATGTTTTCAAGTTTGTATCACACCCTCAAAGGTATTGAGTCAGGTTTTAATATTCCCTGTGGTAGAGACTGCAAGGGTAAATGTGAGTAACTGCATTTAAAAGCATATTTCTTTCACCATTAATATGCAGCCCCAGCTCATGTTGAGTATGGACTTTCAAATTACATATATTAGATCAATTTTTAAAAAATAGATTTATGTCTAGAATAAGTGCCATTGTTTTGTCAGATCTAAGAATCCTTAATTTCAGAGAGCTCACTAATTACTGGTTATCAGAATAGTCTTCATTCACCTTTAGACTCAGCTAAGTTATGTAAAATGTACATGTATTTCTTAAGCACCAGCAAGATCAGATGCATGTAAATACACTACTATATATAAAATAAAAATAATCCTGTTACCAAACACTTTTTCTAGCTCTTTGATGAAGAAATATGAAATTAATTAGTCATCCACTTGTACAGGCCAATGTCAGCTTTAAAAGCACATCAGATTTTCTCTCAGTAGTTTAAATGTAGATTTTAAGTCCTTTTTTTTTAGTCCTTTCAGTAAGCCAGAGCAATCATACTAATTTCAGTTTAAAAGAATGGCTTATTTCCTTACACATTACTTAAGATGAAGGTCTAAATATATACATATATATTAAAACATATATTAAAGCAGTAAAAGACATAATTCACTCTTTTTTTTTCACCCCTGAATTAGGGTGGGCCCTTTGTAATAATAACCTTGGTTTTGTTCAGTTTGGATTCATATGCAAATATCAGAGGAAACTTAAAATTTGTTTAGAATATTCTTCCCTTTTACATTGTTTTAATAACAACACAAAATTTAAAAGGCAAAGTAGTTTCAAGTGGCCTTGATTTCATGACTAATTTATTGTAGAGGTCTCAACAGACACCTCAAAGTTGTTGTTCTTGTCCAGCTGTTACTACTGTCTTCTAAATGAGATTAAAACTAGATTAAGAGAAGAGAACTTCTCTTCAAACTGAGGTTTTGGGTATCATTTTAGGATTTTGGTCATGCTAATGGGATGCACAGAAACAGGATGTATGGAACAAGTCACAACCACAAGGTGTTCAGTAGCTTTACTGCAAACCTTGATAAGCTGGGTTTAGGCAGTGCAGAGGCCAAAGCAGACCATGCCATGGTTCCCTGTACACCCCACTGTCCCTGAAAGGGCACAGGATTGTGTTACAATGCTTGCACAGCTCCAAGTTCCCAGGTAAAGACAGCAGCCTCAGTATCAAGTACGTCAAGTTGGGAGTTTTTTGGCACAGGAACACATACCAGTAACATCCCTGCCTACTCAAAGTGCTTTCCCTGCGTTCTTTTGTCTTTCCATTCTCCACACAGCATCAGGAGAAAAGGCATTAATAGAAATCTGGTGTAGCCATGGTGGCCTCTTGACATCTCAGCCTGCAGAGTCCAGGAGACTATTACCCAAACTTCCTCAGGCACAAGGAAGTTTTTGTGACCTTTCTCTTCAATTTGTCCCTATCCTTCCAAGACCTGGAATCTGAATATCAGATGGATCAGTTAGTTTCCCTGAAGCTTTGGCAGCACAGTGGATCAAAGGCAAATACCCTTTTATTGCTGCTATTTTGCATTCTCTAAATTTATTTGGCTTGTTTTCCGTTGGGTG